GAGCTATGTTTTACCCACTTGTTAGGTGGAAAGCAGTATCCTGCTCACAACTGATCTTCAAATTCAGACAGGTCTCTCCCACTCCCTGCTGGCAGGTCTGCAAACATTGCTACAAAACTGTTCTGCATCCTTCTTCCTGGGCAGAGCATTACGGTACAATGTTAAAATCTCCATRTAAACATCACTGTATTCCTCAGCACAAAGTTCACTGAGCCTTTTGGTGTAAATTGCATTTTATTTTAACCAGGAAAGCATTGGAATGACAGGAAACAAAAGTAAATATGCTAAACCAAGCAGCACATTTATGTCCTCATGCTCYTGATATTCTAATTGCTCAAATCAGAAATTTAGCCAAATATATTGCRGCCTCCTTTTGTCCTTTAGGATGCCTTTGCAAGGAAGACCATGACCACGCAGTGAAACAGATTGTCCCAAAAGGTTGTGAAGTCTCCCTCACTGGAGATATTCAAGAACTACCTGGACACAATCCTGKGCCAAGTGCTCTAGGACAATCCTGCTTGAGCAGGAAGGTTTGAGCAGATAACCCACYGTGGTCCCTTCCAGCCTGACCATTCTGTAATTGAGAGGTCAGTGGAGCTGGTACTTTTTGTATTACAGGACTGAAATAGAAGCAGGACAAATATTCCAGTCCTGAAGCCAGTGTCAAGGTGTATTGGCACAACCAGTGCACCCTGCTCTGCAGACCTGTGCATATGTCACAGCAGACTTGAAGCAACACCCGATTTCCTCAGATGTATCTTCCTCTCACGGTGAGATCTCAAAGAAGTTTTTTCCAATGGCCTTTTACTTGTGCTGCATGGGAATGTTTTGGATCGTCAGTTAAGAGGAGCAGGAGTCACCCCCCCTTGAAACCAGCCACAGCCTCACCACCCCCTTACACCCAGCACCTTGTTCTACAGCAGCTTTAGCTGTGCTGTCCTGGAGGAGTCACCACCACCAGCAGAGATGAGAGACAGTGGTTCCTTGGAGACTGCTCTGAATCACTTAAAAACAGATTGTTCCAACATGTTGTGCTGGTTTTATGTATGAGACAGACGAGTGTCCACTGAGACATAAGGTGTAATTATAATGCAATTTCAATTAAGAGTCAAACTGTGGTCCAATGAGGTAAAAAGGTCAGCGCTCTATCTAGCAATACAGCTGGATGGTGGTTTTCCACTTGGCTACAAAATTAAGGGAAATCCTAACTGGGCCAAAAATAGCCCTGTCTTCAGCCATGATTTGCTGCCAAGCATCAATCCCACAGCAAATTCTGAAAGAATATTTGCTRGGATTTACAGTTTAAGCAATGCAGCATGCACTCCTTTGTTTTAGCAAGTTTAGGATGCAACTTCCTCTCTTTCCAGAAAGTTGTTTTTCCCCCTCTCCTTCCCAAGCTTTGATTGCAAAAGAACTAGCTGAAGAGATCCCCCTTTATAGCAAGTGTCTCAGTTGTTAAGTTTTACATTAGAGCAAAAAAAGAAAACCAGCACGTTGTCCTGCTGTAACTTAACCAAGGATTTAAGGAGCAAACACAGAAAACAGACTTGCCAATTAATCATCAACAGTGGGAAATTATCTCAGAGCACCTCCTAGGGGATGAAGTCCGAGAAAACATCTGGCAGGGAATTGGATGAAGCACTAACTAGGACAACAAATAAGTTAGCAGAGCATTCACAAGGCACTATAAAGACAGCCTAATTTGTTCAAGCTCTAAAATTCCCTCAAAAATTCAGTACACTCAAAGGTGTTGGGCAGTGCTTAATATCAAAAGTCAAAARCTGGACCAAAGTGACATGAAAGAGTATACTAAGCAAGGAGCTGAAAAGGAAACCCTACCATTTTTTAAAAAAAATTGGTATATTATTACCTAAGTAACAAGATCTGACCTGACAGAAAATTATGGGTAAAATCAAACTAATCTACTCCTTGTGGAATAGGCAACATTTTTACTCTGTTTGATAACACTGGTGAAAAAAATTGAATAGCTCAGATATGCCTCTCATCCAGTGCTAATTTGCTTCCAAGRAAACTTTGGCAAAGTGGGCAAAGCCTCCATAGCAGAGGATTCTCATTTATCTAAGTTTCTTATGATAAGGTTTCTTATTTACCTAGGTTTTCCAGAAAATTGTCAAAAAATATTGTAACCTGAGCAGAAATTAACTGATTTARTCTTGCTCACACTCATGAGAATTAGGATCAACTTTGGCAGGACAGATTTCCACCAAAAAATAAAAAGGAAATCAGTGGGATAACTTCCTCATGGTATTGAACACACTAATATTGTGTCTCCCAAATATGCTCATGTGCAGTTGATAACAAATGTAGCAGCAGATCCATCATTTTGTTGATAAACATTTTAAAAGACATTAAATCCATGGMCAATCCCATTATAGTAGAGAAAGGTTTCTTAAAAACTGCTCATGAACTCACCTTTGTGGGAAATACCTTTTATTAGCACTGGAAATACACCAATGTTATGTTTGGTGAGGCAAAGGCACGGCCTAATTACTGGAATATCTGGAATATCATACTGGAATATGCCAACATGGAAATGCAACCTTGTGAGTGTCAGCACCAAGACAGAAATCTGTAGCAGCAATGCAAAAACAATACTCTACCCAGGTTTCAGTTGCCTGAGCCAGAAATATGAACAGAATAAAGAATTAAAAAAWTTAGGAGTGTGTATGACTGCCCACAGCTGCACAAAACATGCAGGAGAAAGCTGCCTTGCTTCAAGGCTGTTGGACAAAAAAGCTTCCCACTTGAGATCTGCTTCAGTGCTCCCTAAGCCAAAAGGAAGACAAGCTGGTCCTCAGAGGCTCYGAGCAGAAATGATTGAGATAGAACTTTTACACACATTAACAACTTGAAGAAATTAAAGGAAGAGCCCTTGGCTGGCAGTTCTCAGCCTTCTGCACCTGACAATGTGAGCCGCCAATTGGTTTGGMTATCTTGCCATTTCCAGTTTGATGYGACATGGGAAAGAAGACTTCTTGTCCTGACTGCTATCTGAACCCAGCATTTAAATCCCAAAGGAAGAGGCTTCATTACAGATGCTAGTTCCCAACACGGGACATATACCAAACAACACCCCAAGGTCTGGCTAATAAACCTTTTATCTCTTAGGCTCTCTGCCCTTTTGCTGGAATCACACCATGGAAACACCACTCTTGCTCCTGCACCTGGCTTTCCATTCTTCGCTGTGATTCCAGTGACTTTGGCTCAGTCTGAATTCCCCATCTCCTCCAGGCCAGCCCCTGAATTCAGCGTTCCTGCAGCCTCAGAGCCAGATGTAGAGCTCAGCCTCAGGGCCACTCTGCTTTCTTTYTCACTCAGATTAAAGAGCTGCATCAGCAACTGACATCTATTTCRTTATACCTTTTTTATAAATCATTTTACTTGCACACATGTGATCAACTGAAAAGTGCTCACAACTGCTGGAAAAAGCACACAGTGTGTCCAGCTTGCCCTGTGGATGCAACAAGGAGCCAGGACTCAATTTCTCCCTAGGAATACCTCCAGATCACACTGGACACWAGAATCAGTCCAGGAAGCCAAGCTRSTATACACAAACCATAAACTATCTGTCAACACCTGGAGCTGATCCTGCCCAACTCTCTAAATAACCCAGACCCACAATGTCATTCTGCTGAATCTCAGAGATCTGCCGACATTTCTTGGATGCCCATCTCCAGCTATCAATATATTGCGACCCATATTCTCTGTACACACATGTTTTAAAGGCAGAAGCTGGGAATGAAAGTGTTACCCACTTCTAAAGCCCTCCCTGCCCAGGAGGGGTCAAAACAAGCAGCAGCCCACTGACACTCCTATTATACACATGAAAAAAAAAAAAAAAATCATTGATCAGGAGAAGAGTTGTTGCTCCCAACAACTTCCTAATGTGCCTGATGCAGATATGGCAGCAGAACACCCCAAGCAGGCTGGTACCTACGGGACAACAGCAACCTGAGAATACARAGCAGGAAATAAATTAACACCCAAAGCAAGGAATACAAGGAATACATAYACATTTTAAATCAAAGGGTTCTACAATGCCTGCCTGGAACACTTAGGAAAACCAGACAAGAGCAGCAACCATGGAAATACYTTCCTGCTTCCAGGAAGTGAGATTAGTTAAGTCGTGGGCACATTGGTTACACAGGCTCAGCTCAGAATCTGTTTACACAGAACTAGGAGTGCATGTCCTGGATTTGCATTGTACCTTTCATTTGTACAGCCTTCCCTAGACTTCAGAGATCTTCAATACTAAACACAACAAAAATAAATTAGATAAAAGATAACAGAGCAGAAGCCCTAAGAACAGAAAAAATTAAGACAGCAATACCAGTAYTTCCAGTCTGGTTACAAACTGCAGCAAACTTTCCAAATTCTTTTGAAATATTTGAGTGCTGCAGGGATAGCATGATGGATTTAGATTCAAGACACTGAAGAACTGTCCAAGAAAACTAAGCCTTTGATTTGCACTCAAGTAAATCTTCTCCTGGATTAATCTGCCAAGCTCTGAGATAACATGTAGGGTTTTTTTTTTTCTTTACACAGCCGAACATAAACAAATCCCCCACATGCAGTGAGTGGTGGGGCAGCAAAAAGAAAAGCAGTTTGTACTTTCTAAGGAACGGAAAAACAGTTTGTCATTCACTCCAAAGTTTGGCTTTCAKAAGTGCTGCCAGGGCACTGAGTGTTTGATATAATCAGTCTGCTACCAAGAGCTTCATTTAAACACAGGGAGCTGCCTGCATCGCTGGGTGATTCCCAAAACAACAGCGGTCTGGGGAACATCACCTCACCCGCTCCTGCTCTCCCTCTGCTAAACATGACAGAGCAATTGAGCTCCACCCTGGAAGAGCTGGTGGGTACTCACACAACTGCATAAACTGGCATTACTGGTCCCCAGGGGATACAAGGCTATGAAGGCAGGCTGGCAATTTTTCAGTAGTAAATGAAATCAGCCTTTACAACTGGTCATCACTTACTTTTTTCCCCTCTTCTGCCATCAGCAGCAGTTTGACATTCCACTGCTTGTTGCAGGAACAAGACGGTGTTGTAAGATGGACCAAGGCACAATGAGTTCTTGTCTAACCTGCACAGACATTAGAGAAAAAACACATCTCAACTTCTGATCCCAAATTCTATGGTCAGTAAGCCAAACCTCCACAGTAACACACTCTGCCAGTCCTGACTGTACTCTGCCCTTCTTTGCCCTTACAGCTCAGCCTATGCCCAGGATGCAGGGGCTGACTGCCCACAGCCCCTCTGCCCCGCAGGCTCTGCCCACAGCCCCTCTGCCCTGCCGGCTCTGCCCAAGGTGGAGGCAGCTCCCTGGGGCTGGGCTCAAACCCAGCCCTGCACAGAGCCCACTGCCTGCAAGGCTGTGTGGGAGCACATGGCTGCTGAGCTCTGCTGGGGGAAAACATCTCAGCTCCTCAATTGTGTGCTCCAAAACCCCTGCTGTGTCTGTTAGTTTGTTTTCCTCAGCAGTAATTTTTTAGGAACAGCTGAGCACTCAGATTGCCCTTTCGCTGGGACTGAAAGCCAAGCAAACCCAGCTAGCACACACAGCTGCTCCTTCATACGAGAGTGTTTTGCATCTAGATCAGTCCTCGAAAGCATGGTGAGAAAAAAGACTTGGATATCAGTCAATTAACGCAATAAAAGACACTTGAAGTTGTTCTTTGCATRCTAAATGCCATCCTTGCAGCCAGTCTCCTGGGTTTCTACCACAGGCATTTTCTTCATGCAAGGGAGATTTACCTGTTCTCTTCTTGGCACACCTCAGGCAGCACACTGCTTTCTAAAGACTGCCTTCTGGTYGGGATGGATGAATTGAGCCCGAGTCAGCAGTGTGGGAGCTTCATGCACATATCAGCACTGCTGAAGGAGGGAGCATGGACAGACATACAGGCTGCTGTCCAGGGCGGTTTCCCACACCTGAAGGGCTCCCTTTTTACAGCTCTTTCCAGCAATAGCTGTAGAAACAGCCAGGAGTTCCAGACATCAGCACATTATGTGGAAAGCTAAAGTGAAGTAACTTATGCCAATTATTTTACAGTGCCCTTGGCCCCCACCTACTGCTCTGTGCACAGACTGTGGGGAGAGATGGAAAAAGCAGACACCATGTTCAACTCAACAACTCCCATTAGAACCAACTGACTCCTTAATAGGGAGATCCTGAATTCAGGGAGTTCAGGCAAGTATGGCATTAGATTATGCTATATTTACATCTGTCCCAGTGGGCCACATTTCCTGTACTGCAAACCCCACAAGAAGGGGTAATTAGATTTTTCCTCCATTGATGTCTGGCTCTGTTACAGAGGCTTTGGCTTTTTGTTCCTGCAGGAGCTTCCCTGGTGAAACTATTTTCTTGAGCTCTACTTTCTCYTTCTTCTGGCCTTTGCCTGAGCAAGGGTTACAGAGGGGCCCCAGCCTGATCCTCAGGAGGTCTCCAAGGCTGAGGCTGGCCAGGATCCCTGCAGGGACCAGCCTTAYTCTGTGTCAGGCAGCATCTTGCTGACAGACACCCTCAAAGGAAGGGATCTACAGTGGCTCATTGCACTCCCTATGGAGATGAACAACCAGAGAGATGTTCCCAATGCATCCTTGTGAGGCAGTGAGCACGTGCATCCCTGAGGTGCCAGCCTGGACACAGAGTCCCCTGCAAGGCTGACTCCTCATTCACACACCACAGCCCAAAGTTGTGACACCTAGATAGCAGTTCTGAGCAGAACACAATCTCTGCAAAAATACTTCAATTTTGTTGAATTTACTTTCCTACATAACACAGCTGACAAATGAACACAAAGCAAGTACTTTTAACAAATATAATATTTATACCTCTTAAAGACATTCCTGAAACACAGTGACAGAGGCAAAAAAGGACCCCATTTCCCAAGCCATTCATCTGCTCTCACTCTCCACCCCAACAGCTGTAGAACTTCAGTTCTGCCTAATACCTCTCCAGATTTATTGGATGCCCAGCTAAAAAGCACTGATTGTTCCCTGTTGCTGTATTTTGCCATGGGTGAGGAATGTGGGAGGGATCCATAATATTTTTATGACTATTAAATGACCTTCTGTTAACTTAATGGGAAAAGTCGCAGGGCCCTCCCTGAGAAGAGGGCAAGAATCCCTTGAGATGAATGCTCAGTGYAGAGGAATAGAGGTCAAGCCAACAGTGGAGCCTGAACACTGTTAGGAGTTTTAATTATGAATTATGAATCTAGGTACTATGGGTTTGCTATTTTGGGAGCTACTAAATTAAGAGGCAAGTAAGAAACAGGAGGATCTTCTCAAAAGATAGGGCACTTCCACCTCCCACCCATTAAGGGATGTGAAATTTCTAAGTTCTGTATCTAAAACAGCAGTGATTTGTGGTGCCTGATTTATCAAGGCCATAGAGCACCAAGGCGAAATCCTGCCTTCACTTCTGTCTCTCCTCATGCCAAGGGGAAAACTAATCCTCCACAAACTCTTTCACCAGCACAGATAATATCTCTCAAAATAGGGTATAATCTGCCCTCAGTTCRCTTTTCACACTGCAGAGTAAAATAGGGTGGCTTCTCACTCAAGCTAAATGATGCAACATTCACTCATAAGAAAATGCTGCTGGATTCAACCTGAGAGTTTTGCAAGCAGACATAAATCTAAAGCATTAATAACTTCTGCTAAAAGTGGTAATATCAGAGTAAGAGAACTTAGAGCTCATTTGCCCAGCTGCTTTCTCTTTGCCAACAAAGCACAAAACAGGGTGCCAGGGCATCAACAGGTTTCTTTCTAGGGCCGGTGCGGGGGGAAGTACTCTTCCATTCTCCTCATAATTAAAGTACAGCAGAGTGCATGAGGGCAATTTATCTCCTCATGGGGAGGAGAAGATTGCTGGCACTCAGCTGGCTGCTGGGTGGCCCTCARGCCCCCCTTGCTTGTGTGGGGAGCAGCCCCAGCCATGGCAGGGGARCACCTGCTGCCCTTCCTGCTCCCAGGAACCACAACCCAAACTGGCCTCAATCAGCAGCTCCACAAATCTACCAGCGACAAGAGTGATGAGCGATAATTTAGCACCATTTACAGCACCAGCTTGGGTGAGAAGCACCAACTCTGCCCAGGAGCCTAACCACCAGGGGAGCCCTTGTTGATGCTGGATGACTGGGCAAACACTGGAGCTTGAAGGAGAGTTATGTACTTCAGACTCGGGAAAGTTTCATTTACTCTGCCTCTAGCTGYTAAAGGAATAAACGAAATGCAACATTTCTACCAAATACATTTAAGCTAAAAAAGAACAGTTCAGCTGGAACTTAAGCTATTTGTGATCACAGACTCCCTTCGGCAGACCTTTCAGGTGAGAGGTCACTAGAGCTGCAGCAGGCTGTGTGCCACTGGAGATGCTGGCAGAAACAGATCCATCCTAATCCCTCCGTGTGTGTAGGGTGTAGAGGAAGATGAATGCATAATCAGCTCCCAACTGTCATTGAATGGCTTTTTATGGGAAGGGGTTATTCAGTGAGGGAATAGCAGCAAATCTCCTGGGTGCTCACTTGAGAGACCTGAGGTAAAGCACTGCATCGAGAAATCTCAGGCCTAACTCTGGTCAGACTTATGTGGTAACTAAAATTTTTCAAATCAGTATAAATGTTGACAGACATACAGATGTCTTATCGTCTATAAGACTGGGTTGGTTTTGCAATTTCAAGTTGAATTGTGGTGAAAATGTTGGAAGAAGGGCCTGAATCGAACCTGGATTCATATCCAAAGGTCACCTCAACTTCTGGTCCTTTTGCTCACAGCAGGGGACTCCAGCATTCATGGCCACATAGCCAAAAAAGCCCTGGAGTAACCTCCAGCATCCTCAGTTTTCACTCATATCCCCCCCTTAACTTCCATATATTTTATTCCATCTTCATTTTTAGCTTTCTAATTCCATGGTGGCCTCTCAAATGTACTAAATATAAATGTGTGGACCCAGCTATGTAAATAAAGTGGTCCATGTGGTGAGCACACATGAGGGCAGGGGGCCTTTCATCGATGGGAGGGCTGATTGCCAAGCAAGTCCCAAGCTCTGCACTCCTGCACAGGGAAAGGGAGCCTAAGATTTAGAAGCAGTATAAGAAGCCTATGGCAGAAAATGATAGTTACTGGCATGCCAAAATCTGCCTCCATCACCAGGAGATGGAGACAWGSAGGAGAGAGGGTCRGGGGACAGRGARATGTAGGGAGGAATTTTATGGSTAAGTGGCCTGCARCCAGAAGGGGTTACAAATCTTACCRTTGTGTTGCTGGTATATGTGCACATCAGTGTTCATTGGGGTGCACAAATTATTGGGACAGTTGGGGATCATTTGTTTGAGTGACTCTTTTGCTCCCTCTTGAAACAGAAGCATCTCAGATTTAAAAAATAAGTGTTGGAGCAGTTCAGGCTGCCAGACAGCTGTGCCTCCATTTCCTGTGCAAAATGTCCCATGGTGACAGGGGATCTACCCTCTGTCAGGTGAGGGGGTGTGTCAGGGTCTGCATGCGGGGTGGTGGGACTGGGTGTGGAGACTGCAATCTCTCCCCGGTGCCACCTTCTGATAGTTAGAAGGTGACTTGGCTGCCTGTCGTCACTCAGTCTCTTCAGACTCAAGAGGTTTTGGTCAAGCTGCCCATGCTGATAGTCCTCTGTGTCACCCCATGAAAGCAAACAGAAGGAAGGTGGCCCAGGGCATACAGCTTCCTAAGAGGGTGAATTTTCAGGGTGGGACAGTGGTGAGAGCACACCCAGGCTCTGTCTCACTRTCACACTAACACAGCATTGAGCCTGCTCTTAACCTTCAGCAGGCACAAATGAGCCCACAATGGATTTAGGGACTGGATCCCAGTGCAAAGAGAGTACAACACACCAGTGGGATGCAGGATTGCAGGGGATGCCCAAGCCAGGCAAATATGATAAGTGGTAGAAACTTATTCCCATTACCACAGACTCACCTGACATGATGGACAAATTAAAATTTACATCCCAGCTTTCCAGGTAAGGCCAGGATGTTCTCCTCTCTCAAAATCACACTAGCCAGGCAGGATCACAAGGSTTCCAGAGGTAAGCACCCATTTTTT